GCTGTTGTCGAGTAGGAAATCACATCGGACCTGGGTACAGTGACAATGGGTAAACCTTAAGTTGATATTGGACTAGCTGATAGGACTTCTTTTGAAAATATGCAGCAAGACTTGTCCACATGTTTGGTGGAACATTGGGTCAAGATAGAAATGGAAACACTGGAATACGATAAATTTTCGGCTCCATGAAAATAGTTGGAAGATTAGAAGAAACCTTGCCTAAAGTATAGGTTTGAAATTGAACGTTTTATCTACCGAATGATTGTTCTGAGAAAAGAAGGGACGAAATCCATATCCGTCATATTTGTGGCAAGTCATCAGGTCGTCAAGAACCTATCCGATGTTCTAAAAGTAAAATGAGTTCAAATGGATATCAACGCGCATTACTTGCCAGAAAAAAAAAGAGAACAACTCGAAGATCGTGAGAGCTCGAAGCTCGAGCAAAAACTCGAAGATCGTGAGAGCAGTACTCGTGATGGGAGCACCGCATTGATGACACTGGAAGAACACAACAAAGAGTTTCACGAAACTTCTCATTTTTACTATATGTAGACAGAATCATAATATGATTAAACGCATACTGCACGAGCGCCAGCAATCGGGTGGGACGAATTAACATTGTAAAGAAGGAGAAGAAAGTCAGGCGTTTTGGAAACAATCTCATGCTTTGAAGCATACTTGCCTGCAAAATTTCGGATGTGCAGGGCAGACATTTTGCCGGGAAAGGCGTGATAGACACATTTGCGGTGGTCAGTGCCCTGCCCATTAATGATTGGACAGTCATGGGTTTCGGCAGTTTGGATTGAACTTCTAAAAGCTTTCACATCAAGGATTATTCTAAATGGCTGGTAGAACGCCGATCGTATTAGTGCAATTGGGAGACAGACAAATCTGATTCAGCTTTCCAAAGGTATAACATTTGACGTTGACCAGTTTATCATGGTGCAAGACTTCATGGCCATCGATCTGAACAACAAACCCGGAGGCAAATTAAACTTTGCCTCCGGGTAGGCTCCATAAATGAACACTCAGCTTAAGAACTTTCTAGTCTATGCCAAATGTTATCAAGAATTTGATGAAGGGTACGCAGATAAAATCTACGTAAGGCAGTAAATCAAGCGAATCAAGGGCAAATTGCACCAGATTGTTTTGCCATTCGACTAAATGGCTGCTAGTGTGAAAATAACGAAGAAGCGCTCTATTCGAGAGAAAAAACTAGCATTTCCGAAAACAAATCTTTTTGAGCATTAACGTTGCTGGTCACGTTTTATAAATCAGGAAGCTTGAAAGAGTGGGAAAATCGTTCACAAGAGAGAAGAAGTACTATGTTCAACGCAAACCAGCAATCGAGACTGTCGGCGGACTAACACAACGTGGCTCAGCTAAAGAAAAGTTTAGCAGCAATTAATAAATCAAATCTGGGAGCTACTTTATAAAAAATTGGCCACGAACAGCTCAATGGAGTTGAGCAATAGATTTGTCAGTAATTTCACACGATACCAACATGAGTGCTTCAAAGTTTGAGACGCGCAAGCAGCTCCTTCAAGAAGTTTGCCTCCGGGTAGGCTCCATAAATGAACACTCAGCTTAAGAACTTTCTAGTCTATGCCAAATGTTATCAAGAATTTGATGAAATGTACGCAGATAAAATCTACGTAAGGCAGTAAATCAAGCGAATCAAGGGCAAATTGCACCAGATTGTTTTGCCATTCGACTAAATGGCTGCTAGTGTGAAAATAACGAAGAAGCGCTCTATTCGAGAGAAAAAACTAGCATTTCTGAAAACAAATCTTTTTGAGCATTAACGTTGCTGGTCACGTTTTATAAATCAGAAGCTTGAAAGAGTGGAAAAATTGTTCACAAGAGAGAAGAAGTACTATGTTCAACGCAAACCAGCAATCGAGACTGTCGGCGGACTAACACAACGTGGCTCATCTAAAGAAAAGTTTAGCAGCAATTAATAAATCAAATCTGGAAGCTACTTTAGAAAAAATTGGCCACGAACAGCTCAATGGAGTTGAGCAACAGATTTGTCAGTAATTTCACACGATACCAACATGAGTGCTTCAAAGTTTGAGACGCGCAAGCAGTTCCTTCAAGAAGTTTATCACGACGCTTTTGAAGACTTGGGAGAGTGAATAGGTCTCAAAGAATCGTCGAAAATCATAAGGAAAACAAAAGTGAGCCAGATGGTTGCGTCGTTACCTGACCTGAAAAGTGTTGATGGATCTAAATTCCGAGAAAGGGAAACTATCGAAAAATTAAGATGACAGTGTGTTGACCAACAATCTGGATGGTACTGCCCTTAAATGTCGATGAGAAGAGGGCAAATGAGCTTAAAAGCGCTCGGAACAATTTTGAGACTTTGAACAACAGCTATTACTCGGGAGTACAGGATCATCAGGCGATGGTGAATTTTGAAGAAAAACAGCGGCGTGATGCTAAGTCGATTCAAAAGTACTTAGACAATCTGGAACTTATGAGTTGGCGAAACAACCCACATGAATGAATTTTAGAAAGGAACCTCAATATTGCCTCTAAGTTCGTGATTGGTTTCAGGAGCGACAAGCTGGTTACCATGTTGGTCACTCAGTTCACTATATCGACGGATTGTACTATCTCCACATAATGTCAAGATAGTACCTCTTAATCAAACCAAGAGATCTTGACGAGGATCATGAGGAAAACGTGAGCAACATTACAAAGAAAATTGGTCCGCATTGACTCTTCCGCGGTCCGTAGTGATTTTTCACTTTGCACTATATCCAATTCTCAGGCGCAGTAGACGACGTCAAGCAGCCAGCCATGACGAATCAATGTCAGGGGTAAAGTCGAGCGGAGTCCCTTTGATTTACGAAGCTGTGGCCGGGAACAGCTTCGTAAATCAAAGGGACTCCGCTCGACTTTACCCCTGACATTGATTCGTCATGGCTGGCTGCTTGACGAATCAATGGCCAGCCATGTATTCTACTTTTCAGGTTATTTTTAAGGCTTTCACGGGAAGTTTTCAGCAGAGAAGTTAAAAAATGTGGCCGAGGGAAAAAAATCACATTAGACCTGGATACAGTGACCTTGGGTACACTTTAAGTAGATTTTGGAATAGCTAGCTGACTTGACTTCCTTTGAAAATATGCAGCAAGCGCTGTGCACAAAGCATGTGGGACATTGAGTCAAGATAGAAATGGAAACAATGGAAAATGGTAAATTGTCGACTTCATGAAAATTGTTAGGAGATTAGAAGAAGAAACTGTTCCAAAATACAGGCTTGAAACCGAACGTGTGTTCTGGCAAAAGGATTGTTATGGGAAAAGAAGGGACCAAAACTCGAAAAATTGCTTCTTTATGCGTTTTATTATATATATTTTTATTATCTTTATGCGTTTGTTAGCGTCAGGTTTTAATTCAGTTAGTTTGTATTAGCTGTTTTTTCTTAGTCATAAACCAAGAAAAACCAGAAAATCCTGAAAAGTGAAAATAACTCAAAACAAAAAAAATGAAAGCATGTTTTTTTCTCTGTATTAGCTTCAATTGTTTCTTACTTTTGAGCTGTAAGTTTAGTTGATTGTTGTAAAAAACAACGAAAAACAATGACTCAAAAATTGCTGATCATTTCCTTGCCTTTAGCTTTAATTATTCATTTTTTTTATTTTTATTTACAGTTGTCACTATCTGATCTAGTCAGTATCGAGACTATGAAAAATGCATCATTTCTTAAAAATCACGGAAACCTTTCAACTGCCCTTTACAGTTAAGATAATTATAGTTAAGTTAGCTACTTTTTTAAAGTGAATTTGTTGGCAGTTTTGCATATAAAATAATCATTTAAGGCATTTAAGGTTGATATATCTTTTAAGGTTTTGATAGGAACATTTTTAGGGTATTTAATAGGGGAATTAAGATGTATCTAAAGTAGAGCAAAAGTATCTCAACTTTGGAGGTGTTTTAGAGTTTTTTAAGGTTATTTTTTTTATTTTCGTAATACCTCTCAAAAATTGAAAACAATTTTCGCAGAAAGAATATACCGCGATTGCGCTTTGCCGTCCTAATCTTACGTTAACCCAAGTTAGTAGACTACAATTTGTACTTTGCTTCTTTGTCATTGAGATTATTCGTTTAATTTTAATCATCGCCAAGCTTACTTAGTCAAACTTCAAAAAATTGTACAGTTCAACGAGCTTTTTTTGAGTTAATTCGAAATTATTTTTATGGAATTGCCCGTTTTAGGGTTGAAACCTTTAAAAAGTGTTTTATAGGTAAATTAACCTTAAACATCCATCTTATAAAGTAGGTGACTTAACTTAAATCGTATAACGAAGATGTGAATTTACCTGAAAGTTGTCCCTAAACACAAGAAAAAGAAAGTGTCGAAAATCTGAGAAATAAAAAAATTCAAGGTGTTTTAATCTTTACTGTTAACGTATTTTATCTGAATTTTTGTTTTCAAAACTTTTCAGGTTACCTTATTTTTAAGGTACACTTCTAGGGCAATTTTACATATACAATAAATATTTAAGGTTTTTTTTTCAAAGTTGATACACCTTCATTCTTAAATTATTATTAGGAGAAATTTTATAGAGCAATTAAAGGCAAGTTAAGGTGACTTAAGATACTGCAAAATCAACTTAATTTTAAGGTATTTGAAGTATTTTATGGTTATTTTACTTATTTTTTTTAGGTGTAAGAGTGTCTCAAATTGCGCAATAAAAACATTGTTCTTTATTTAAAACAACAAAAACTTGGTGGTTTTTTGGGGATTTTATTTTATGATAACAATTTATGGGCCTTCGGTTTAAATATTCGAATTTGGATAACGCAGAGCAAAATTCTATCCAATCAGACTCACGAGAACGGCTATAGTTTTTGTATTCTTATTTAAATACGGTACCTCGTCTTTTTTTTAATCACGCCATTTTTTTCGAAGATTGCAAAGATATGAACAGTTTGAATTTATTTATCCTTCCACATTCTAATGTCAATTTTGCAACTTGGAAAAAAACTGATTCAAGCCACTAGTTTAATTGAAAAACCTTGTATTCTACATTTGCAGCGTAAGCTTTGTTTTAGCTTTGAGTTTTAGTTTATTGGATCAAACGCTTTCCGGAGTACAAAGCGAACATTTTTCCGATAGTGGTCACGTTTCTTAATTTGTTCATAACATGACGTGTCTGTCTGGCACAAATGCACTTTTCGGGTCTGGATAGAAGAGACTCCAGTGTTTATTTGCACATGACTCATCCGACTGGACGTGTGTGGTGTCTGTAGTAGGAGTAGGGGCTGATATGATGCATGAGTCCTCTAGAGAGAAGTATGTCTCCAGTGAACTCCTCTTTGCTCTATCTCCGAACACCATGAAGTGCTGCTTCAACACCAGTCTGTCTGAAGGGTCAAACACCTGTCAACAAACATCAAAATAAAACTTATCGTGACAATTTCAATTTCTATCAAGCGGTAACACTTTCCCCTTTCATCTTTTGGGAGCAAATTTTTCTTTCCATTATCTACAAAGGCATCCAAATTATCAAGGTTATTGCAGCGACAAACGGTTGATTAATAAGGAGTGAGTTAATGAGATTTGAGTGATAAATTCAGTAGCAATTCAGATCAAATATATATGGTAAATCACCCGCACAAAGTTGCTCGAACCAATGACTAAAGGTCATGTTTCACCAGCTAATTTTAACAAAAATCGGGAAGTGATCTTTCAGTTTGAACTGAATAAGAAAGATCAATTCCAGTTCAGTTAGGAAAAATCACCAATACCCCGCCTTTCAAATTAGGTGGTTCCTAGAAGAATGTCTCGGAAAAATGCAGTTTTGCACTTTCCCAAGTTTTTCGTCAATGCGTCTGCAGGCATGTTTGCTGTTGGTAAAAAGGTTAATGTCACCTTCTCCTGTTCAACTAACTCTCGAAGGAAGTGTAGTTTTATGGCAAAATGCTTCGTCTTTCCGTGGTTCATTGAGTGTTTACTAAGGGCAATACAAGCTTGGTTATCAACGAAAACTTCCAGAGGCCTATTACAAATTATGTCTAAGTCGCTAAGTATGCCCTGTAAATGAATTCCTTCCTTCACTGTTTCGACCACAGCATTGTGTTCTGCTTCGGCTGCTGAAGTTGATACACAACGCTGAAGTCTGCTAGACCAACTTATTACACCTGAGTTGTCACTGAGTTTAAAACAATATCCTGAGGTACTTTTCCTGTTGTCTATACTTCCTGCCCAGTCCGCATCCGAATAGCTAACAAGATGCAAGGCCTTATCCCTCCTATATACTAAAGGTAAACTTTTTGTTCCTAGGAGATATCTAAGACAATTTTTTCCGGCTTTCCAATGCTTTTCACCTGGGTTTTCCACAAAAGAACTTAGAAGATTTGCTGCAAAGCTAATGTCGGGTCTACTTGATAACGCTAGGTAATTTAGACAACCAACAAGTCCTCGATAGTCACATTTTTTCATGTTTTCTTGTTCTATGCTACCTTCTAAAGGACAATCTTCTTTTGTCAATTTTTCGTTTTCACCAATAGGGGTCGTTTTCGGCTTTGCTTCAGTCATCCTAAATCTTGATATCAATTTTTCAACATATTTCTCCTGGCTTATCCTAATTTCGTTTCCTGAGTAATCAATTTTCATTCCTAAGAACCATTTAAGATCACTTATCTCGCTTGTCTCAAATTTTTCAGAGATACTGTTTTCAAACCAACTACAGAAATTTTTCTCTGCTCCACAAACCACTATATCATCTACCCACAAGCAAATTAAACCTTCTATCTCTCCCTCAATCCTCCTAACAAACAAGCACTCATCAAAAACTGAATTTTCAAAACCTAATTCCTCAAGATAGTTTTTTAAAGTCCTATGCCAGTTTCTACCGGACTGCTTCAGTCCATAAAGACTTTTCTTCAGAAGACAAACTAAAGGTTTTCCTTCCTCATCAAACTTCTCGAACCCTTCAGGTTGCTTCATAAAAATTTCTTCATCTAGTTTGGCATTCAAGTATGCAGTTTTAATGTCAAACTGTCTCAACTGATACCTATTTTGAACTGCTAAGCTCAGTACTATTCTTATGGTCGACATCTTGGCTGTAGGCGAATACGTTTCGTGAAAATCCCTTCCCTCAACTTGGCTAAAACCTTTAGCAACAAACCTAGCCTTAAACCTGGAAATTTCACCATAAGGTCCGTACTTCAAAGCAAAATGCCATCTGCTGCCAATAGGCTTCTCTCCTCTGTTTCTAACTAGTTCCCAAACTTTGTTTTTCTCTAATGAATCAAACTCTTTCTTCATTGCTTCCTGTCAGTCAGGGTCTGCTAAAGCTTCCTGAGCAGTTTTCGGTATATTTTCGAGAACTTCTCCAAAAAATACTACATCACCTACTCTTTCTCCTTCGTTTTTTTCTATCTTTTTCTCAAATTAGAACTTAGATTCATCAAAACTAACGTTTCTAGACTTTTGCACTTTGAGTTTTCCTTCACTCTCAACTCCTATCAGATAAGCTTTACTATTTTCCGATGCCCCAGAAAAATTCCCTTTTTAGAGTTTTTGTCTAGTTTTTTTGCGAAACTGTTTTTCCACAAAACTATATGCTACACACCCAAAAGTTTTAACAAAATTAAGGTTCGGTTTTTCTCCATACATAGACTCGTAGGGTGTTTTGCCTATAGCAGAATGAAAGCACATATTTTTGAGATTAGTAGCCATATTAAGAGCATAAGGCCAAAAAGTTTTCGATAAATTCGCATCAAAAATTATGCGGCGAGCCATTGGAGTAATTGTTCCCCACACCCTTTCTATCTTTCCGTTCTCTTGAGGGGTATAAGGAGCCGATGTTTCCAGTTTTATTCTTTGTTTCCTACAAACTCGCTTAAAATCCTGACCAATGTATTCTCCTGCGCCATCTGAAACTAAAGTCTGAGGGACTCCTATGTCTGCTATGAACTTTTCCAACTTTTCTGTTGACTCATCTCTCGTCTTCATGAAATAAATTTTCAGATATCTAGAAAAACTGTCCACAAAACCTATAGCATATCTATGTCCATCCTCTGCTATCGGGTCGATAGGACCTAAAATATCTGTGTGAACAAAATCTAGTGCCCTGGTTGCCCTGATATAAGATTCTTTCGGGACTGGCTTCTTTTTTGCTTTGTTTAACTCACAAGTTTCACAATTCTCAATTTCAAAATCACTTATCTTCATGCCTTCAACATGTTGCTCCAAATGACTTAAATCTTTGTAGTTATTATGACCCATCCTGCAATGCCACTGTTTCAAGGTGCTAACTACATAACACTCATCTTTTCCTACAAAAGTGTCCCATAAAAAGAGACCACTTTCCTCTCTTAATGGGTAAACTGAACCATTTCCCTGGCGAATGAACGAGCTCGCACCAAAAACAACTTCTGCTCCTGCTTTCTTCATTTTTGATACACTCAGCAAATTTCTTGAGTTTTCAGGAACGTACAAAGTATCCTTCAGCTCAATCATCTTAAACTCGCCTTTCTCATCTTTCACTCTGAATCTAACTTCACCTTTCCCTAAAATTTTTGATTCAGAGAAATTTGCATTGCTAACCGATCCTTTGAAGTCCTCATCTAAACTAACAAACATGTCTCGTTCCTTAATCATTTTACTGGTAGCTCCAGAATCTACAACTAAGTCCTCGCCCGGAGACACTCCACTCAAGAAACTAAAATGAGCCTCTGTTTCAGCTACTAGGTTCTGCTGTTCTCGTTTAGTCTTACTAACGAACCTTTTCTTTGCTTGACAATATTTTGCAATATGTCCAAACTCCTTGCACTCATAGCACTGAATTTTTCGAGCTCTATCTTCACTATCTCGTCTGCTGCTTAAGTTTTCTCTGCACTGTTTCGACACATGTCCTCTTTTATGACACTTGAAACAAACTAAGTTCTCGCTATTAAAAGCATGCTCTTTTTCGGTTACTTGTCTCTCGCTATCAAAATTCACTAAATCTCTTTTCAACTCATCTAAACTTTTCTCATCTCTACTAAACTTAGCTATAGTAGAAAAAGTTTCAAATTGGTTTGGAAGTCCTTTCAAAATAATTGAAATTAACATTTTTTCACTCACTCCTTCATTCACTTGTTCTAAGTTATACTGAATCTCCTCTGCTCTAGTCAAATAATCTACCACTGTTTCATTGCTATTCTTTTTCAAAGTTGTAAGTTGGGAGATTAGTTTTTGCAGCCTGGGTCTTTCAAAACTCTCAAACCTTTTCCGTAAAACATCCCAAGCTTTGCTACCATTGCCTTTATAAGGTCTTAAAAACAAAACTGATTTCTTATCTAGAGCCTGTACAAGTTCGTACCAGATATGCAACTGTTTTTCTTCAAAAATTTCTTTTCCTTTATCTATCGCAGCTTGTTTTTGATCACTGCTTGCATTCGGTCTTAAACTTGGCATAAAATTTCTATAATCAACTGTCTCATCTAAAATCTTGTTTAACTTCAAGTGAAAAATTCTTGCCTCGAATTGCTCTTCAAAGTAGGAAAAATCTTCTTCTTTTCCCGAAAAAACTATCCTATCAGTTTTCGACATTTCTTTCCTAATCCAAGTTCTTCCTTTCGACTTAATTCTCACACAAAAGTTAAGCTCCAATCCAAAACTCAAAAAGTTAAGTATTGCCCTAGGTAAAGATCAATGACCCCGTTTTCTCTTACATCAAAATCATATTCTATAAACATCAATATCGCCCGCTTATATAACTATGCAAGTATATTTGATTACCTAAATCTGATTTGGAACCTAACGGAGTGCGTACCGAATAACACATCAGCGACTTAGCAAAGCTAAGGTCCCTCCTCAGATTTCATACTAGGTAATATATATATTAGCAAAATAGAAATTCGTCTTTTTATTCTAGGGTATCAGTTTCTTTTTCTTTTAATTGCAATGTATTCTTTGGATTGATTTTTTGTCGGATTCGAGCAACCGCGTACGAACGAATTTATCCTTCCGCAAAAATTGAGTATAAATCAGCAACTTTTACAAATAAAACATGTAATTTATCAGTTTGGTTCAGTTTTCTTTCTCTAACAACAGTGTAGTGCTTCTTCCACTGCGGTGCTCACTCAATGCCCCTTCGTGTAGCTTTTGACCGTCTTCTCTTCTTCTCTGTTGTGTTTCCCTGCTTCTATCGTCAGAGTTGTCTATCTCTAGAAGTTGTTGTGCCCTGCTTCTGTCGTCAAAGTTGCCTGTCTTTACTAGTTGTGTTATCCTTCTTCTATCTTTGCACTTCTCTGTCTGATCAATCGTCTTTGGCCTGCTTCTTTTTGTTCAAAGTTGTTTTGGCCTGCTTCTTTTCTCGCAGTTCTCTAACTGATCAGTTGTATACTTCGAGTTGTAATTTTTCACTGTCACAACTCCACTGCAAATCT